TTGTTGTTACAGATGGAGTCGAAGAGCATGAGAGACTCGTGCATGCGGTTCTGCAGCCCCAGGTGGGGAGGAAGAGAGCAAGACAGACAGCAAGAGGGGGGACACGAGACAGAGAAAGAGAAGAAGAGTTAGGTTTGAGAGAGGGGGACCAGGCTCCTCGGCAGCTCAGGAGGGGCTTCCACCGACAGGCTAATAGATGGAACTTGCAGTCGGCAACACATCCCAGTGCATCTCAGTCTCAGCTTTCAGAGCACCTCAGCAGCAGAGGTGTCTTGGACTAATGGTACAGGCTGGCTGGGAACCAACCATGGCTGTCTAGGGGAGGGTGAGGACAGGATGACACAGGCTCTCCCCACTGCAAAGTCTCCAGCCATGTGAGGTCTCCTGGCATGGGTGTATGCGTGTGTGTTCTATGCATGTGTGCACGTGTACCCGCATATGTGTTGAGGTGGTGGTGGCACTGGACTGGCACTGGAGAACTGGGCGTTGGCCTTTTCGGTCTGGACCTTTTCTCCTGGGCCCACTCTGTGGGTGACGGATATACTTTGGGAGTGGCAAGGGATTCAAGGCCCCTTCTATGGTTTGAGGAGAAGTCAGGTACTGCTGGCATCCTCGGGGGGCCACCACTCAGGGGAGGTGCTCCTGCCCAGGGATGCTTCCACAAGTGCTTGGGGGACCAGCCATACCTCCTCTAGCCAAGCCCAACTCAGCCACATTTGACCTTGCAAGGGGTTTTAAGCAAGGCTGATGGGAAGTGCTGTCTTGCTCACAGAAGTGTGTTAGCAAATGGATGAATATTATGGGCACCCTGAAAAAAACCGAATCTGAGGAGGACAGCCTTTTGCCCTGGGCCACGACTGACTGATTCTACGTTGGGATGCCAAGCACGTTCACTTGGGTAATCTGCTTCTTGGCCGTACAAAGGACTGATTCTACGTTGGGATGCCAAGCACGTTCACTTGGGTAATCTGCTTCTTGGCCGTACAGAGGACCATGTTTCTCTGTGAACTAACCCATTTTTGCACTGGAAGCTAGGAAGGGGGACAACCTCTCTTTTTCCCCAAGATCCCTGTCCTAGCCCTGGGAATCTGTCCACGGCAAACCTGCTTGGTGGGGCTGAAGCACAGGCCCAGAGGTAATCCAGGCTAAAATCTACCCTGGAGTAAGGAGACTGAATGAAACAAGCAACAGGAAGAGACGGGAGTGGATGTCTACTGTGGGACACTGCTCATGGCAGGCGGACGCAGTCCCCGGGAGGAGCACATGGTGGCAGCTGCGTAAGTTGCTGCTTCCCCTGTCTGAGCAGAAGGAGCATAAGGAAGATGACGAAGTGACCAGCACTGGTCAACCAGCCCACTCTGTGCCTGTGCCACACCCAGTCCTTTGCCTGCCTGCCAAGTGTCACTAAAAGTCATCCACCCTTATGGAACACCAAGGTGACACAGCTGGGACCCAAAGAGCAGAGACTTGCAGCTGGCTCTGGGCCAGATCTAGAACTTAGGCAGTGGGTTTCTCCAGTCAATATTGGCAGTCTGTGGCCTTTCAAGAAGTTAACACTAACAGAGGGTCCTGTGGCCCAGCAATTCCAGTCCTTGGACTTTATTCCACAGAAAGAGAGGCATTAGTATGTAAGACCATGGGTTTGTAGTGGCAAAAATCTTATTAAAAATGAATTAAAAAAAAAAAAAAAGAGGGTCCTGGCTGGCTCCATGCATTTTATGGCCAAACCTTCCTTCAGTAATCTCTTCCATGCCTGCATTATGATACCAGCGACCTGTACAGGGCATCAGCCCAATCCCTCTCTTACTGGCTAAAGCCAGTGGGTGGCGGGGGCACTGAGTTCTAAGTCGCCCCTTGGGAGCAACTAGACAACTGACATGGTTTTACGACCACCTCTAGGATCTGCAGTAAATGGTATTGTCCTTTTATTCTGCTAAACAAATTCAGTAAACTCATATGATCTCATCACTCTCCTAGCTTCAACCAGCAAATTTCATTCTCAGTTCCCCAAAAGTCTCCCTGTCATTTGCATGGTCCCACTCAG